CGCCTCTTCTTGTTTCATTACGTCCCTGGCCCTCCCGCTGGGCCGCGCACATGCCGCCGGTCATGATTTGCACCCCCCCTTCTTGGACACCCCCCTCTTGGCCGCTCCCGAGTCAGGTGGCCCGGCCTTCGGTGCAGAATTTTTCTTCTTTCTCCGCAGGGCTTTTGTCCCCATTCTCCTCTCTTCCTCTTTCTCTTTCTCCGCCTCCTCCTCCTTCTCTTCTTCTTCTTCTTCTTCTTCTTCTTATTTTTCCTTATCTATGTCTCTTTGCCTTGATCTCTGAGCTTCTCGTTATCTCCGAAATCCTTTGTCATAATCATAGCCTTCTTGAATGACCAGCTGAAGACCATTCGGGGTCTATTGGGCACGACATGCTTGAGGGATGCGCCGAAATGAGGATTCCTTCAGCCTTCTTCGGGGCCTCCATAGATCCAAAGGGCACAGGGTGCGTGAGGGGTGTGCTGAATCAACGCTCACAGGAGCCGCCTTGGGGGTCAGCTCAGACCCTCTGGAGGTCCATGGAGCATAAAGTTCTTGGGGTGTGCCGAATTTGTCCGCTCGGACAAATCCAGGAGCCCTCGGAGCTTGGACCCACTGCCAGGCCTCCCTGCCACCCCTTCCCTCCCAGAGGGGTGAAAAACATCCGAGGGGGGAAATCAAATTCCCAAGGGAACTGGAGAGATCCCCGAGGGGGAAACAAGAAACGTCCCCGAGGGGGAAAAAGCTCCGACCCGCCCGAGAGGGGGGAGGGATTGGAGATGATTGTGGTACCAGGTATCAGGATTTTACGAGAGCAGTGGATTTTCACATGGTGTTGCTTACATTTCGAATTGCGACATGAGAGTCTTCTTAACTTTGCAAACTGCTTTTTCATCGGTGGCGGGTTGGGGAGTTTACGACATTACATCAGGGGAGGAAAACCACCCCGATCCGACAATTGGCGTTGGCTGAGCGGCCCTAGGCGTTTACTACCCAGCCCTGCCCTGCTGGATTCCTTCAGTGGGTGCGTTTGCTGAACGGCCTCGCGTGTCGAGGTGATCCGTATGGGGGTGGATTTTCTGTCCTCTGTTACCAACCTTTTACGTCGGCGGCCAGGCAGAGTGACTGCGCTGGCGGAAGAGTAGATGTAGGACATACTCAAGTGCGAATCGAGCCGCGGATGCGCGGGGGGAGCGAGAGGAGGCACGCCCAGCGACGGCAGGAGGTAGCAGGAAACCGGGGACCCCCCCATTGCAAACGTGCATTCGGGCATCGGGACGACCTACATGGGTACGGAAAGAATGGGTACAATGCCCAACAGCAGTTCCCGTTCATTTTGAGCAGGACTCGCTGTCCGCGCCGCCGCGGCCTGTGTCCATTTGAGACAGAAGGCCGCCTGCCCAATAGCGGCCGCTGTTGGTTTGGGACAACATTTGTTGTTTGGCATTGTACCCATTTTTTTCGTATGTGTTGTTGGGCATTTGTTGTTGGGCGTTGTTGTTGGTCACTTATTGTTGTTGTTGTTGTTGCTGTTGTTGTTGTTGCTGTTGCTGTTGCTGTTGCTGTTGTTGTAGTAGTAATTGTTGTTGTTGTTGTTGTTGTTGTTGTTGTTGTTGTTGTTGTTGTTGTTGTTGTTGTTGTTGTTGTTGTTGTTGTTGTTGTTGTTGTTGCTGCTGCTGCTGCTGCTGCTGCTGCTGCTGCTGTTGTTGTTGTTGTTGTTGTTCATATTATTGTTGTTGTTGTTGTTGCTGCTGCTGCTGCTGCTGCTGTTGTTGTTGTTGTTGTTGTTGTTGTTGTTGTTGTTGTTGTTGTTGTTGTTGTTGTTGTTCTTGTAGTACAACATTTTGTTGGGCATTTGTTGCTGGGCGTTGTACCCAATATCGGGCGCCCCAACTTATGGCTCTCCAGCCGTCGCAGGGCATCCGCCCGGAGCGCCCCGTCGGCCGGCGGAGGCCGCGCCCTTCCCCTCCCGGGCGGCCCAGGAGCCGGGCCCGCTGCGCTCGGCCTTCCGCGGCTGGGCGGGCGCCCTGGCAGAGGGAGGTCCAGGCCCCCGCCGCGGCCGGCGCCCGGGAGGGAGCAGGAGCAGCAGGAGGAGGAGGAGGAGGAGGAGGAGGAGGAGGAGGAGGAGGAGGAGGAGGAGGAGGAGGAGGAGGAGGAGGAGGAGAGGAGGAGGAGGAGGAGGGGGAGGAGGAGTAGGGGAGGAGGGGGAGGGGGAGGAGGAGGAGGAGGAGGAGGAGGAGGAACAATAATAGTAATCATTATATAACAATATGAAATAAATGCGAGATAATGATAATAGTAATAAGAGGAATGATAATGGGATAATAATGCTAACAATATGAAATGAATGCGACTACTAATCATATTACTCATATTCTACAAATCTTAATCACAATGAGAGTGCAACTATGAATGTTCTGATGGATGATATCTCCCCCCTCCACCTCACTGTCTGGCAAGCTTAAGTCGCGCAACGTCAAAGAGGAGGAAGAGGAGGGGGGGAGGAGGAGGAGGAGGAGGA